AATTTTAGAGTTAAGACAGATTTGTTTTTCTCTTCTGAAAGGCTAAAATTCTATAGTTATTCTATAAATTACGAACAATTAATAAGTACATTTCATTATAGCTTATTGAAGTTCTGACCTTATTCAGATATATTATATGTAATGTCAATAATTCTATAGAGCCGAATTGTAAAATATATATAATTTCAATCTTAGGGATGCAAGTTCAAACTTTTCTTCCCTAAGATTTGGCCAAGTCTAAGAAAACAGCTATCTTTGCCCAATCTTAATCTGGGTTATTGTAAATAAATTATGTGGTATAATGAAGAGCATCCTCTGTGCCTTATACTTGGTCTGAAACCATATTGGTTTTTAGATCATAATATGTATTCATCCAACAAAGTTCTTCTAAAATGTATCTATTAATATTACATTCAGTCGAAAAACCAAATGAAAGACCTAATTGATCAAAATGTCGAAAAATTAAATACATACTACAAACCTAATTATGTAAAAATCAGAAAAAACTTTTTTCATTATTTTTTGTATCAATTGATTTCTGATTTTCATCCACTTCTAACCAACTAATGAATATTTTATAAATCATTACTTTTTATACAAGCAAATGTTTATTATGGTTTAGATACCGAGTGGAGCGAAGAAGCTTAAGGTTTACTAAAATATTTTTTTTTTTTTTTCGTTCTTCTAGTATATGGACACGTTTTTTCTTAATAAACTTTCTCCAATCATTATATGTGGTACTTTTTCTGAAAGCTCAAGTTGTCTTAATCGTGTTATAAAATATCAATTTTTAATTTTTGTCCCCACTTTTTTAATGAAAGCACTTAAGTGGGGAAAAAACGTAGGAAAACTTAAAATTTCACGATTTCATTATTTTATAAAAACAAGGAAGTTTTTAACCAGAAAAAATTATTTAATCGAAAAATAACAAAACACCTTTTTTGTTGCTTTTTTGATATACTTTTTCACGGTATCATCGTCAAAACTTTTGAGCCACTTTTGAATTTAAAAGGAATTTTAAAATTGGGAATTTTTTTTCTGTATTTCGGTTATAATACACGTAGAGAAACTTCGTAATAACACTTAATACATAATTATCTAGTCATGGTAAAATTTCCAAAATCATTTGACGATTCTTGTTTTTTTTTTTTTTAACAAGTGTTTTGAGATCAAATTTATACGAAAATCATAAAATAAATACGACACTTCAAAGTATGTATTACCGATCTGCGCTCGTTTTTCATCTAGAAATGGTTTATCGTTACTTATAGATATAAATAAAAATAACCTTATGTATCCTAGCTTTCCAACTACTCACCTAAAACCGTGGCCTCTTCCATCCCCAGTAACAGATAATTCTTTTCCCTTTTTTTGGACAAATTTTCTACTAGAAATTTTGCCCCAAACTAATATAATAGAACATTTTCTAAAAAAAAATGTGACTGGTGTGGTACTTTAAAAAGGTAATTTTTTTGATTTTCCGAGGAGTTTTCACAATAAATGCTCTCAAATGAATAATATAATACGATACGCCCATTTTTTATAACCTATATATCGAATTAAACGAGACACGAATTTTTCTTTGATAAAGTTTACTGTAAAAATATCTGAAAAATTCATAGTTTTATTCGAAAAAACGCTTATCACGGTATTTGCGATTTGAAAAACAAATCCGCTGGTGCAGTTTTCAATCAACATAGATAATCGGTATATTTGGAGTTTAAGCAATACAATTAAAAAACGACATATTAAATAATATAATATCATTATTACAATTCATATTAATATTCAAATCACAACCATATGTTTATATACGAGCATACGCTTAGGAATAATGTGCGAGTATTTCAATTATGTGCTTTCGTGTTGTTCCTGGAATAATTCAAATTTTGTTGTAAGGTATTAGCCATATAAATCAACACGTGATATGGGATTCTAGATATAGTGATCCATGGGGTGGATTGGTGTGCGGTCGACGTAATTTCTGCGAACGTCGTTTATCCTATTATTAACGTGATCATAAACTTCGCCGTTTTCGCTACTGTTTTCACCCTGGGTGTATATCTTTCTGTTCTCATGCTCTCCATAACCAACTGCGTTATGGTTGGGTGAGCGTTCCTTATCATGTACTTGATCGCGAAAATCGCGTTGATGATCGTCTTGTTTTTCATTCTTGTTAACGTGAACGTTGGCTATGGTTCCCGCGTTGTTATTGTGATTCCTATTTCTGAGGCGATTATTAGGGGTATACTCATGTGTCAACGAAGGTTCATCAATTTCATCATCAGGCGTATGGCATGACGCATTTTGAATTATTACAACGGCCATAACGAATGAAATTATTATCTGTAAAAATATAAAATAAAAACAGATTAAACTTGAGACCCTTTTGAAACGAGAGCGATAAGGGCAATTGCCCTTGAGAGATTTTTTTTTACAAAAATAAATAAAATAATAATAAAAAAAAACGTTCTACGATAATGGACAGTTGAAGGTTCTATTATAGATCATTTAATGTAAGAAACTTGTAAAAATCGATAAAACGATTGTGAAAGTAGTTCAGATGATAATGATGATTTGTCAACATTACACATGTCATTTTATTATAAAATAATAAAAAATAGGCTTTAGATTTTGTTTTATTGATTATTATATTCCTACGTTTTCCTAGATTTCCAGATGTTTTTTTCCAAAAACCAGAATGTTTTCAGACAATTTTCTGTTGATATCGATTTTATTTTTTTACTTGAAATTCAGTGAAAATAATTTCTAGTGACCTGACATTTACTCCATTGACTTTTATTATTATTCTCTAGACAAGTGGCTTCAATGTGATACTTGTATTATTGATCTCGTGTGTTATTATGGATATTTATATCGGCTATGCACATATTCATTATATGACAGTCAAATAATTTTGTCATGGGAGGGCGGGAATAAGGATAATTTTTCAAAACTATTATTATTTACATAATGTGTTTGTAAAACTTATATAGATGTTAGATAATACACGTGAAAATTGTTGAGCATTGCTCAATTATCCTTTAGTATTTAAAATTAAATATTTTAGATATTTTTCGTTTAATTTTCAATTAAAATACATCAACATTTACAAAATTATTATCTGATTGACAAATTGCATTAATTCATGTAGGTTCTCATTTGAAAAATCAAGTTAGTATTGTTAGTGTTGTTACTGGATACTCTTTAGGTGTTGTAAAAAATCTAAGTATTCGAAAATATCGTTTTTCTTTACACTTATAAATATAAATTATTGTAATTCACAATCATCTAATAATTTTATTACACAACGGGTTGATCGTAGGGCATACTTATAAATTTCCCTGTATGTTAGTACAAATATTTCAAAATGTCAAGTAATGGTGGGGGGAAATATTATTCCTAAAATTTCACACCGTTTTACTAAAGACGTGAAGTCTTGAATATTTGATATAAGATTCGTTTTAGTTATATAATAGTTATAATACAGTAACAATTATTGCACCACTATAAAAAAAAGTGAAAAAAATTGCGATTCAGGCACAACAAAACATTAAAATTGAAAAATTCAGTGAATGCATTCAGAAATCCTTTCTGATATACTTTTAACACTTAATGCAGGCCAAACCCCTCTTTTGAAATATATCACTTTGAAATGTATGAATTCAATTTTCGTAAAAAAGAAAGGCTATAAAAAAATGGCGCAAAATATATTTTGAAAATTTTACCTAATTTAAAAAAGGTAATTATAAGATTTCTGTTTAAAAGTCTCTAAGATTATGTTTAACTGAATGAAAACCATTAAACTAAGGATGTATGCAATGTCCTACATATTTAAAATAAAATATACCAATGGCTATAAAAAAAAAAAGCAAAAATGTGAATTCCAGTCATGTTACCTTTTTAACTTATATATGTATATGTACGGCAATCATTATTCTAAACTTATCGCATTTAACAAAAATTATTAAACTCCAAAATTAGGCTAGCTACAAAATAAATCTTTTCGCCAACTCGAACTAATTATATTAATAAACATTATAAAATAATAATAATAATATACATAAAGATTTATAACTAACCGTCATGTAAAATTTCATGGTGAAAAGTGTTGAAGTCTAGAATATAAGAATAATTCACGTCGATTGGAAGACAAGGTTAGCTGAACATCGACTACAGTACCTATACCCTATTGCCGGCCGTTTTTATAGGGTTAGTGTGATAAGCGGAATGGATATATAATAATAATAATAATAATAATAAAAAATTATTTTCGGTATTTTTCGCAAACAATATCGTTGTTTGCGATAACGCTCTCATAACAATGTTCATGACGACGATGACAATTTCCCGAGGGTTCGAAGGATACTGAGTGTAACTCATTATTTTAAATTTTTTAATTCATATTTTGTGAATGATTAAAATAATTACGTGGTAATAAAAACAATTCAAATAAATATTATCTTCGGAAATGTTTAGATAATTAACGATTTGTCATTTGTCAACTCCAAATTGTTGGTTCAAAATATATATTATCAAATAGATTCTTAAATTTTTTTAAATACAATAAATTTAAAATCGAGGAACCATAGCTACAGACAAAAGATATTATTTTTTAAAAAAAAGCCAACTCGAATAACTCTTTTATGTGTATTTATGTTTTTTTTTTTTTTTTATGGAATTTTAAAGTTTTTCAGATTATAATTACCAAATTACTACATTAATCTTAAATGTTTTTTTTATCACTCATTCAAACTTATGAAAAGCAATAGTAAATTGACGAGTACTTTCGCTAGGCCAAAATAAATTTTAACAAATAAAAAATATAAAACTCAAACTAGCTAAAAATTGCCAAAATCAATTTCTCGTAAATTATTAACCTGGAAAATCGAAATATATTTTCTCCAGTATACCAAATTAACAACATTTCCTATTAAAATCAAAACTTAAATTTTATTATCAAAGTGTTATTTCTGAAACAAATCAGTTTATATACTGACATATATGGTTTAAAAAAGACTCTCTAAATTGAGTACAATAACCACAAAGGACCCTCCATTTTTTTAATTTTTACATTTTATAGTTCCTCTTCTTATATTCTTACAGTTCGAGCACTTTGTATACCCAATAACATTATCAAATGTGTATAAATTATAGGTTTTTCATAAAACTATACATTCAACTGTATTTGATTAACATATAGGTACTTAAAGAATTTTTGTCACCTGCATAAATTCAGCTAAACCTACATAACTCGACAAAATTTTAACGTCACTGGTTTGAAACCATTAGCAGAAATGTAAACACCTTCGATATGTTTAATATATTCGAGGTGCCCTTTAATTGAGTTCTTAAGAAAAAAGAAAAATTTAGTGTTTCTAACCTTCAACAAAATTGAGAAAATGGAAAATGTTTTCGGAATTAGATAATTGTGAAAAATAATATATAAATTTGGGAAATTTTATGAATTTTAGAGTTATGATAGATTTGTTTTTCTCTTCTGAAAGGCTAAAATCCTATAATTATTCTATAAATTCGAACATTTCATAAGTACAAAGTATTCAGAGGTAAATTTTTGATTTTACAAGCGGTTTTCTGGAAAAATAACCAGTATAAACATAAAGAAATTGAAAATTTAAGAAAATAATGCTTTAATATTTTTAAGTTTTGTTACTTGTTATAAGTCATTTAAAAATATTCGTATTTCCTTTATGACTTAAAACATAAAACGTTTTCTACCACAAAAAATGATTTAATCAAAAAATCACAACAAATTTTTTTTGTTGCCTTTTTTGCTATACTTTTTGACAGTATAAACGTCAAAACTTTTGAGCCACTTTTGAATTTTAAATTTGAGAATTCTTTTCTGTATTTGGGTTATAAATACACGTAGAGAAACTTAGTAATTACAGTAAGAGTATTATTATACTCTTACTGTAATTATCTAGACGTGGTAAAATTTCCAAAATCATCTGACGATTTTTTTTTTTTTAAGAAGCGTTTTGAAATCAAATTTAAAACTTTTAATGAACATTATATCAAATATACAACCATCTTTGTTAAAACTAAGGATTTTTTTTTTTTTAGATAGTACTTAGCAAATACAAATTTTCTCACAATTTAATATCTTTAAAAACCTCAAATAGTTTGAAAATTTTACTATTTTTGGAAAAAAAAAAAAGTTTTTTGTTCAAAATGCAAGTTTTTACGAATACATTAAACTGAAAAACATTTGGAAACAAAATTTAAATTAATTTAATAATTTAATAATAACTTTCGTAAATTTGTCCGTTTTTCTACATATATTTTAATTTTGTTCAATTATTAATCAAACTTAAAAGATAATCAAAAATCCACTCCTTTGGTCATCAACAAAATTCAACAAAAAAGATCTCTTTAAACATAGGAGCAATATTTATGATAGAAATATAGTGTATTTCATCTTGTAATATTACCGAGTGTATTACCGTACTGCGTTCGGAATCGTCTTTCGTCAAACANTAGTTTATTGTTGATTACAGACATAAATGAAATAACCTTATGTATCCTATCTTCCCAACTACTCACCGAAAACTGTGGCCGCTTCCATCCATTCATATCAGAGCTTTCTTTTCGCTTTTCTGTGGACAACTTTTCTACTAGCAATTTTGCCCCAAATTATTACATTAGCACATATTCTAAAACAAAATCTGACTGTGGTGGTACTTTAAAAAGGTAAATTTTTTGATTTTTTTTTAAGAGTTTTTACAATAAATGCTCTCATGTATAATATATTACAATACGCCATTTCATATAAATTATATTTTGAATTAAACGAGACACAATTTTTTCTTTGGTATAGTTTACTGTATAAATATTTGAAAAATGCATCATTTAATTCGGTAAAACGATTGTCACGGTTTTCACCGTGATTCATCAATTTAAAACACAAATCCGCCGATGCAGTTTTCAATCAACATAGATAATCGGTTATATTTGGTGTTTTTGCAATACAATTTAAAAACGACATATAAAATAACATAATATCATTATTACAATTCATACTAATATTCAAATCACAATTATATGTTTACATACGAGAATACGCTTAGGAGCAATGTGCGAGTATTTTAATTATGTGCTTTCGTATTGTTGTTCCTGGAATAATTCAAATTTTGTTGTAGGGTATTAGCCATATAAATCATCATGTTGTGTGGATGTCTAGTAATAGTGAGATTGGTGGTGGGTTGGTGTCTCGTAGACCTGATGGGTGTGAATGTTGGATATGCCATGTCCGGTATTATAACCATCGCCGTATCCGTATCCGTATCCGCCCTGCATGTGCATTTGATGGTTGTCATACTCTCCATAACCGACTCTATGATGGCCGATTGGGCGTTCCACAACATGCACATGATCGCTCATGTCGTGAGCGACGGCTACGGTATTCATGTGTCCGTGTCCGTGAACGCTACTGCTGTGGTGATGATCCCCGGCCAACACATGTGACAGCGAATGCATCATACCATGAACCGGATAACATGACGCATGTTGAATCATTAAAACGGCCGCAACGAATGAAATGGTTGCCTGTAAAAATAAAAATAAAAACACATTACTCCAGAGGCGAATTTGAGGGGAGGGAGGTAAAGGCAACCCCCTTTCTTTTTTTTTTACAAATTTTTTTTGAAAAGTCAATTAAATAATAAAAAGACGTCCTTTGATAATGATGATGGGTGCAGCTACTGTTATAGATAAATTAATATAAGAAACCTGTAAGAAAAAATAAAACGATTCTGAGCGGACGTCAATTGATGATGATTCTTTGGTAACAATATACATGTAATTTTATTATTTAATAATAAAATAGGCTTTCTATATTTGTTTTTAAGAACATTACACATTCAACATACAACAATAAAACATTTTGTTTTCATAAGTTTTTCCTAGATTTCCTATGTTTTATCTAAATTTAATAGGAAATTCTTAAGAAAAATCAAAAAATTACCGGTTTAAATTACCTTCCTAGTGAAAGTTCCTTTTAGAAATATTGCTATTATTGTTAGTTGAAGCAAATTACTGGTAGAAAATTTGTGCACGGGAAAAATATTTAAGTAATATATTTTGTAAATTCCTCGGTTTATTATTTTTTTTTTTAAATTTTATGAGAAAACCTTTTAGGAAATCGAAAAACGACCTTCCTAATGTACCTCCAAGCACCGACCTCTTATCATTTCCCACCGTTTTACTAAAGACGTGAAGTTAGTTATTTATATTCATATTATGGAACTTATTTTTCTAGTAAATACCTAGGTATCAGTGATTACCTGAAATGATTGAATATTTAATTTAAGACTCTTCATAAAAGTTTTACATCGAAAAAAAATTGAGCTTAGTCATTATTTTTTTATAAGCGTTTTAAGTTCAAATTTGTTATAATCGAATTGCAAATTATTTTTATTTACAAATTAATAAAACGTTCTATATATGTTTATCAAATAATACAACACAGACCTTATCTCAGAACAGTTGGTAATAGCTTACGGATATATACTGCAGGAATTAACTAAATTACATTGTATAAGGTTTTTCTTTTCTATTTTTCTATAGAATTTAATTTTCTTTACGTTTGCTGGAAGTAAAATTTCAAGGCTGAATTGGCGAAAACCGTCACGGTCTCATTGGCCGGTTATCGTCTTCAGTAATTGATACCAATATCAGTACAAGAAGGTACATGTCAGTACCTATTTATTGAAATAGGTAAATTGTTAAGAAGAGTGTTTTTGATATTTAATACCTTATGGTTATTTGTACGTTATATTTCTAATTATTTTAGTGCAAAAGGCCGTATTTCATTATGCGATGATATTGTCATCAACTAATTATAAACATGCTTCAGTGCAATAAGTTTATTTCCTTAATAGTAAATTTTAATAATATACTAACAAAGATTGCACCACTATAAAAAAACAGTGAAAGAAAATACGATTCAGGCAGAACTAAACCTTAAAATTGAAAATTTGAGTGAATGCATTCAGAAAGCCGTTCTGAGAAATTAATTTTTTAATTTATACCTGTAAGCAATGAAAATCCACTGCTAAAAAAATCCGGAGTAAAGTTCGGTTTAACATGTTTTGGTCGAAATATTTACGATTTTCGTCAAAATGTGTTATTAAAACACNGAAGTACGACAAATAACAAATCTCCTGTTAAATGTTCAAGTTATTCAGTTAAATCTAACAATTTTTAAAAATTTATTCAGAGAGGACCTACCAACAAAAAATGAAGTAAAGTACACGCAAATTTAAACTAGCTCAAAAATGGCTCAAATGTTTTTAAGAGAGAAATAGGTTTAAGTTCCTTGTTTACATTTTTTCTTTCTCGCCATTAATATTTTGAAATGGAACAACCAGAAGAAGAAGTCATACTGTTATTGTAAGTTGGAATTTAAAAAAGTAGAATATATAAAGTTCGTAAATTTAAATCGCAGCAATACACCAATGATATTGAAAAACGATACTGAAGAAGTTCGTTTATACATGATATGCATGTCGTGTTTTATGTACGACTTTCATTAAAATTTGATCTTAAAACTTTCATAGAAAAAAAATTACTAAAAGTTACATTCTCTTAGATTCTGAGTAGAGGCGAAGAAGCTTATGGTTTTACAAAAATGTTAATTATTTTTTGGGGATAATTTTTTCTACTAGAAGTCATAATCCAGTTTTTACGTGAATAACTTTTTCCGAAAGTAAATCGGTGTAGAAATGTTTTTTAAGAAGTTAATTTTTCGATTTTTAAACACGTTTTTTCAGAAAATGTGGAAAACTGAAAAAGTTGATGCTTTTCCAATTTATCTTACGAAACTCCGCTCGAAATCGTTTTTTTGTAAGCATTTGTTTATCGTTGTTTATAGGTAGACATAAGTATATATAGAAAAGTGGCTTATCACGTCCCCATCGGCAAAGGACGTCCTTAATTTTTACCACTTATTATTACAATAATTTATAATACAATTTTCTATTAAAAAGTGACTAGGAATATGTTTAACTGAATTAAAACTAAAAAACCAACGAGAATAGGTTGATCATACCTAAATATTATTTCATTGATGACGAACCACTTGAATAGGCCATACAAATGACATATGTAAGGACCATTAAAAAAAAA